ATAATGAAGGAATTTACTTTATAATCATTCCTTTAAATTTTAATGAACTTTTTTACCTTTTCTCAAAACAGATTATGTACAATGCTGTTTTGTCATATATTTTTTTTATTTTTAAGAATAAGCAAACAAAATAAAGGAGTTTTGTATGTAAGTCAATTATTAAAATTTATTTTTTCAGTTGGTATTTAAAATTGTGTAATCAGGTTACATCACGTTTTCCCATACATTTATCTATTTTTTTTTAAATAAGCAGGTTTCTTAATATTTATTATGGGTTGCTATTTTTCGTAAATTTATAAATGTCCAAATATTTTAAATGGTTGTGCGTGAATAGATCATAAGTAGATTTAAAAAAAATCAAACATTTATAATTAACATGCGTGAATAGAGCGTGAGTGGACTTTAATCATCATTATATTAAAATTTATATATANTAAATTATATATATATATATATATATGATTATGAGTGAATAGTTCATAAGTGATTTTCAAAAATGCCTTACTAGATAACTGATGGATCATTTATAATGAAAACAATAAAGACACTTTGAAAATCATCTGGATGCCAAAATGATTGAGAAAGATATCAATTCAAATGAAAATAAATTTCTGAAAAACTCTAAGGATTCGCAAATTTCGGGGACAGATGACAATCACATTTCTTCTGCGCCAATAAAGCTGAGAAAAGATTAATTGCGTTTTCTGTCATTTATTTTTATCTTTTAACGCAGTTCATTGCTTTATAATAAAAGCCATTTTATGTTCGCATCTTAAACGTCGTAGAAAAAGTTCTGAGGTCCAAAGAGTTTCAGAACGAAGAATCTTCTTCAACTACCATCTTCGATTTTAGGTTAAATTTCTGACTTTCGTTCTTTTATTTCTTTCTTTTCAGTGCTGTTTTGCAGCGAAAAACACTTTTGATGATAGCGTATCAATCGATAGTATCTTTTAAAGGAGGTTGGAAATAAAGTTCCTACTTTATCAGTGTGAAAGAAAGGCTCTGCATGCTCTTCAGTATTTCGACGGAATATTTTTCCCAAAAATAGAAAACAATAGATTTAGAGGTTCATTAGTTTTGAATGTACATTTTAATACTCTTATTTTATGAGATTTATTATTAGCATCCATTAGTACAAGGTCAAAACTTTGGTATGTTGTTTTCCTGCAGTTAATTGCGCAAAAACAAATTCTTGTTTACTATTATCCTACTGTTAACTACACAAAAACAAAATATTAAAAAAAATCAATATACCTAAACAAAAACGCGTATTATAAAACTAACCACAGAAGCGACAGCCCATAGAGGGCCAGGCCCAACTCCCAACTCAGTTTTCTTGACCTTTGGCCTCTGGGGTGCAAGAGCAGATGTTTGGGTGTTCAACCCAACGGGGAACTCCCAGTGTTATTTCCTAAACATGTTTGATACTCATTTTTCGACATACCGAAGGGATGAAAGGCTGAGTCAACCTTGCCCGGCCCGAGGATCGAACCAAGGGCCCAAGCACTATCCCTCATCCACCGGGCATCAAGGCGTTATGCAGAATTATATAATTTTGACACAAAAAATTGGAGGAAATTATTCGTCACAAAGAAAATAAATCAGGTAAATATTAACCGTATTGTAAGGTAAGGACATTTCTGGTTTAAAAAAAAAAAACATATTTCTTGTAAGTAAAACCGAAATTTGCGATATTTAAACCATTCAATTAGTAATTTTTCTGTTCATATGGTAACGTTTAACTGGAAACCCTGGTTTTCAAAATTATAATTCTTATTACCACACATTTAGTGACAAATACAAAACTGAAAAGTTAATTTTTCCGAATAAATGGTCTTTATGCCAAGCTCTAAAAATCATGATAAAATTTCGAAATGTAGCAAATTTTACCACATATTACAAAATCATATTTCATTGTTAATTTAACCAAAACACTTCGGTAAAAATTACTATATATATNATATATATATATAGTGTGCTTTCACAATCACGAGAAAACAATTTACACTTAAATTTTATTTTTATAGAATAGGGGAAGAATAGGATATGGATTATAGAATAGGATTTTTATAGAAGAAGGGAATTTGAAATTACTTACTTAACATATTAATAAAATAAAAAAGGTAGAGGTTGAGGTTATTAGCGTGATGGAAAGTGAATATAGCGTGCTGCACAAAAAATAAAAGAAAAAAATGGATTTATTGTAATGCAAGTCAGAAGTCTAATTGCTACTCAAACCATCTGATCCTACTGCAAATAAACCTTGATGAAAAATAAATAATAAATTAATGCACAAATATTACATTATAAAAATATTAGAAGATTATCAATGATGTCATTAAATATGTTCTACATGTAGATTCTAAAATAGATGTTTTAAATTTATTATTTACCTTTTTATTTTTGTAAATATCAAAATGCTCTCAGAGGTGGAACTACAGTTTTGCTTTGCACAATTGCAGAGCAAACGTTGGTGATAAAACATACATAATATACACGAATACTAAAGCCAAGTGGAAAGACATATTTTCTTACATTAAATTACTAAACTATGAAGTTTTCGAACGTTTAGTTGCATAGTTAGTTTTGTAGAATATATACAATTAGTTTGGTTCGATAAAAAATATAACGGGAAAAGTCTTAATGGAGTGGAGAAATCTACTGCCGTTAAAGTCTAAATACGAATTCATGATAAAATTATTTTATTGATAGATTTATTTTGCTACATTGTCCGTAAAAAGGTGCTGTTAACGGAAATATAAAGCACCTCGTACGATTGAAGAGGGTGTCGCAAAATGAACTCGTCATTCAGTATGAAAAAGATTTGAAAAAATGTCATATCAAGAAGATCATTTGAAAAGATTTTGCGGAAGTACCAAATATTGTACTTAAAAATACTTTAGTAATTTTTTCTTATTTAGCTTGAGTAACAAAAATACGAATCAAATTGAAGTAGCAAGTGTGGAGATGGTATTTAATGTCTCCGAAAAAAAAACACATTATCTGGTGGATCAACAACGAAGTTCATTGCGAATCCAATGCTAATTTAAATTAATTACCAGTTACGAAAAGTCCCTCGATAACCATCACTCATTGTTTACCTCGAAAGTAATTGCTTTATTTGATTTCAAATCATTCAAATGAAAAATAATGCTAACGGTGAGAAACATTTTCTGGTACAATTACCGCACAGTATGACAAAAATATTTCTGGGGAAAAAAAACCATAATTCTGGTAATAAAACCAAAATATACGTATTTTAAGCCATTAACATGGTAACGGTTTCCGTTCGTATGGCAGCTGTTTATCTAAAATTGTGGTTTTCAGAATTATAGCTCCTGTCGCCCTACATTTAGTAAAATACCAAACTGAAAAGTAGATTTAACTTAGCATGGCATAATAATTTGGGCATGGCATAAATAATTTTTATGCCATGCCCAAAAGTATCTTGATAAAATTATCAAACTTTTTCCACATTTTCCAAATTTAATACATATTAAAAACAATATTTTATTGTTAATTTTACCAAAATGATTACCAAAGCCTCTCTGTAAATTAGTGACCGTTTTGGTGTTCCCATGAAGCGAGGAGCACTATAAATTTTACCATATTTTGGTATTAGATTTATTTTTCTCCTGGATATTTTTTAATTATATTTTATCTCAGAATAGATATGAATTAAATATCAATTAAGCAAATGGTATACCTGAAATTCACAAGTGGCCACTTTCTGTACCCTGCATGACGTTCAGTGGATTGTAAAAACAATTTCCGCTATCTTAATTGTGAAAAACTATTCAAATTTTAGATTTATTTATCTATAGTCTATTGAAAAAATATGTTCTTGAGAAAACTTTTATTGTAATTTTTGTTCCATATTCCATAAAAACCAATTAAATTTTCATATCTTCAATGAATGCAATATCATAAAAATAATTTTTATCGCTAAAATGCTTCAATTTTTTGTAACTAACTTACAAAAGCCTTCTATAAGCAAAAAGTATGGTTAATGTTGTTTTCTCGTGAACTGTCACGCCCTGGACATTAAAAGATACTCCTACATGACAAACTAATGACAGATTTAGAAATAATTGATACATTCATATTATAACATTACTAAAACCACGGCAAAGCATTTGCCACAGTTTATATATTGTAAAAAATGCGTTAATTAAATTGTCTCGTTTAACTAACAGAATTCATTAATTTATTTTTTGAAAAAAAGTACAAGTTCAAAATTTTAGCTCTATACGCTGTGTAAGGGATGCATACTTTTATTTTTTTAAATAATGAATTTGGATTCTTTCAGAAAAGAAATTAGCCATAAAAATTGAAGAATTTTGCACACTTTAAGAAAATACTTCAAATTTCTGTTTTTTAAACATCGTAATAACATTAAAATACAATTAATAAAAATAGGTCTTCAGAAAATGTCTTATAAGTGAGCACAGTATCATCCCGATACAACTGAGTAGACAGTGATTCTTAATTTAGAGTTTTCAAATTTGATAACATGAATGAATTTGAAAAAAAAATTCATAACTTGTGATTTTCTGTAGATATTCAGTGCATAAAAAAATTACAGTTTTAATTTATGCAAACATTAAGTAACAGCTATTGTACGTGACGCATGCAACACTAGAATATGCAAGACCACACTGTAAAGAATACTGGATCGAGTCACGGTAAACAGTATTGGCATCCATTATCCGTAAATTCCATTTTACAGCAAAATCCATAATTTGATACTGCAACTGTTGCTGTAAAATGCATTAATTCAGTGATTTTACAATAAACATTACCGTAAAAATTACGGTACACCAAATGTTCTCCGTCAAAGGTTACACTAAAAATTAATTTTAAGATTAAAAGTACCTTTTTTTTTATTGTATTTAATCCGGAATTTTTTGCAGTGCACTAAACTTCTTAACAAATAAATTTTTGATATGAAGGCTATAATTCAATGAATACTAAAATAAAGAAATGGAAAAAAATTAATATTAGATAACATAAATTTTTATTACACATACTAGAGAAATCAGTCTCAACCTTTAACAAAATACAATAATGAAATGTTTATAAGACCTTTAATCATTTAATTAAAACCAGTAACTGAACCGTAATAAATCTTCACAAATAGCCAAAATTATAGTATTAAAGATTAGCAAACGAGATCTTTTGGTAATGTATCGTTGAAGAAACTATATCCTTTAAATGGAGTTGGGCCATTGCATATAGCTTCAGCAAGTCCAAACACGTTTGCTCCACAAAGTTGTGCTGGCTCCTTCATCCATCGAGCTTTACAATCACATGTTAATGGTAAACCTGTAATGTATAATAACGTTAAAAAAAAGTAATAGCAATTCTAATTTTCAAAGTATAAGAATTGAAGTACATTCACCAATCTTACAAGCCTAAATAATGTCAGATTTAACTATTTTATTGTATTGAAAGCAAATATTTGCCATTGCACATCAGTTTTATTTAATTTCATCGCCAGCGTTGAATTTTAAATTTGGAGCATAAGAATAGACTTGATTATAAAGGAATAAAGGATTTGACAATATCAATGGTCAACTTCCTAGCCTTGTAATTTGCAGTACAACCTACAAGACAAAGGAACTCCTAGGTTATAGAGGGCTTTTTTTCTAAAAATTAAAAAATATTTTTAATACAAGGAGAAGAAAGCATTTGAAAGGTTTAATTCGAAAGCAGCTGATTCATTCGTATGTTGCTTCTCGACAGCAGTGTTGACGGAAATTGTTAATGGTTAAAATCCATAACCATGACAAACCGTGGGAGATTTTCAAATGCTTTCTTCTCCTTGGCTACCGAAACTCGAACTTGAAATTACCTTAAGGAGAGGCGAGTGCTTGATTGCTTTGCAATTTAATTGGATCGTTTTTTTAAGTTAATTCCTATCTTACCATTTCCAATTTTAAAGAAATTTGTTTATCTTTGTTAAACTAAGCTTTGCAAATGAAACCTTGTATCATTAAACGACAATTCGTACAAATCACTGTCATTGTCTCAGGAAATTGCTAAAATGTTTTATTAAAAAGAAAATATGTTTTTAAATTTCGGAACATATTTTCTAAGAAAGATTTTTTTAAATTCCAAAAGCACAAAATGAGGTTTTGTATTATTTAATCCAAAAATGACAAAATTTATCCCTCGTATCGTTAAATGAAAATTTGTAGAGAACAATTTTATTGCTTTAAGGAATCACTAAAATGTTTTATTAAAAAGAATGTTTAATTTTAAATTACATAACATATTTCTTAAGAATGATTTTTCTTTTATTCTGAAAGCATTAAATGAGGTTTTGCATTAGTTCAAATCAATCAAAAATGATTGATTTGAAAAATCAAAGAAAGGATATGAGAGAATGCTTGGTCTCCTGCGCTCTGCTTAGCAAACTTGTGGTTGTTTCAATCATGTTTTAAAATTCGTTTCAAAATGTCTAAGACATGGCACTGATAGTTTCAAAGTTAACAATACAACTTTGTTTGCTTCATGTCATATTAGAACTGGATTAGTTCACTTCGACTTCACTCAGCGTCATATAATTCTTTTAAATAGTGGCCTTTAAAAAAAAAAAATGCATAATTTTTTCCGAAGCGCCATCTGCTGACAAACTTTGTTACAAATTTTGAAAATGTGGGAGTACGAATTTAGTTTCTTTAGCAGAATTCAGCAAACCATACATTTCTATCTCCTATCGATTTCTTTGATTTTTCAAACAATAGATGATTTATGGACTAATTTATTAAGTACTAATTAATAAGTATTGATTAATTAATAAATACTAAATTTTATAAGTATTAGCTAATTGATAAGCATTAATTAATTTTATAATTTTAATAAGTTTAATACAATTTAATACGTAGTACATTAAGTATATTTTAAAAGGCTTACAAATTTTGATGCAAACGTTCAGATGAACTTACGCAACAAACATTTTTTTTTTAAGGAAAAGAACTACTTTTTCAAATACATATTATGCGCAAATATCGAATGACATATTCTGTAAATTTACTTACAGAGTTTTCTACATACTCAAACTAATAACAATATCAATATTCAGTAAAAAGAAATATTTGCAATTTCTTTTCTATGAGTAACCATTAGTGTTTTAGCTTATATTGCCATCATTAAGGTTCTTATCGGCTCATTTAACTATGTCAACAACTACATCATTCGTTTCTTTTTCGCTTATCTATAGTAAACGTTGGCATGAACAAGAATTAATCTATATTTTAGGGAAAAAAGTTGAGCCTTACTCTGCAATTTATTCACTTAGTAGGTGAATGCGACATTTTACAAATTGTAGACGATATTTCACAATAATTACGAGATTTTTTTTTTATAATTTCAATTTTAGAATCGTGCTGTGAGATTATGGCTCTTTTTAAGCAGCTGAATTAAACTGATAATTCCGATTGCAAATTTTTTGAATTCCATATTTATTAATCTCTTTGATAAAATGCTATCATTAGTAAATTTCAAAGATAAAAAAAATATATTTGCTCATTGTTTGTTATTAATAATTCATTTCAATTATTGATTTTCTCGATTGAAAAATAAGTTTTTTTTAATTTTTATAGATTGCTGATATCGAAACTTAAGATTATTTAGAACAGCAAAAAAAAGGGGGGAATTTTGAACCAAATGACTTTTTTATAACTAGCTTAAAAAAATTTACTAAAATCGAAATCGATTGATTTTTAAAGTTCAAAATACAAAAATGTTGAAAACCCTATAAAAAAATTCCTAATTAAAAAAATTTATTGTAATTGTCAAGCAGGACTAGACAAATTTTTAAACTGACTTATCTGTTACCTGCTTAAATTATAGGCTTTCAATGTACCCGAAAAGAAAAATAATTAAATGATAAAATTAGTATTCAAAAAAAAAGTTTTGTTATTAGAAAAATAAGTTTCATCACTTTAGACCTTTTGTATTTTTTTCTGCTACATCTTTTAAACAAGTTACGTTTAACCAAGTTAAGTTCCTTTAACCAAGTTTAACCAAGTAAATGAATTAATTCAGGTTATATTAAAAAGAACCTAATTATTAAAACAGATCACAAACTATTTGAAAAATAACTACTTTATATCATTAGTATATCTTTACAGTTTATTTAAACTTCCTTAGAGGAACATAAACTATGAGTTTTATTTTCATAAATTACTTGAAGTGCTTCAAAGTCAAACTTTGCGTTTTTCTAATCTGCGTAACCTATTTATAATCTTGAAATTGATGAAGCTTTGGGCATTTTATCAAAGAGTAAAAGGCGTGTCAACTGCACATTATGTTGAATAATGAAAAAAAAAATTAGCTGCTTATATAATGTAAAATATTTCAATTTTATCAATTGTGTTTTCTAAAATAAAAATATTGATATTGTCTTCTTGAATAATAAGGGTTTGAAAAGCCTTTTGTGCTTTTGATGTTAAAAATTCTTATAATATTCTTCAATTCTAAACAAAAACTAAAACTTATAACAGACAAGTTAACTTATTTAAATCAACTTTCTTCATAAATAACTAAATTATTAACTGGATATAAAAACTATATCAACATGCTTTGTTTCATAAATTTTAAGTATAACTTCATTTAAGTATTTTTCTTTCCTTTTTGCTTATTCAAATGATATTCATTCGAACCATTTTATAAAGACTAGTTATAGCTATTAACAATATGAACTGCTATTAATATTTAAAGAACACGTAAAAGAGAATTTAAGAAAAGCGATGAGTGTTTCAAAATAATCCAATGTATGGGTAGATTTTGAAACAATTAGGAGCATAATTTCAATAATTAGGCTGGGCTAGGATGGTGATGATGAATGAATTTTTAAACATTTATTTCTTGATTAGGGCATTATTCCTACTTTTTTGGTAATTTTTTTTCAGATTTTTTCAGCTATTTTTTATGGATTTCAAACGATATTTTTCCTTTCTAGAGAATTCGCTAAAGGTTTTTTTTCTTTCTTTATAAATTGCTGTAAAATTTGCATTGAATTATGGAATTTTAAATTTGCTCCAATAATAAGTAAACATGATGAACAGAGATTTTTAAAATCAAGGAATTTGACTGTGGACTAAAAGCACTCATTTGATTTTAATACGAGTAAAAATATTGAAACCTTTTCTATCTTTATAATGTACCTATTTACATTTAAATTTAATTCCAAGTTACATATTTTTTTAATTATTACTTTCTTTTTTTATTAAATTTAAAAATACCGAAAACGATTTATATTTCTTTTGTTTTTTAAATGCTTAAATAAAGCTTGTTCTCAAAGATTTAAAGGATATTATTTTTCATTTTATGATCATTTTTGAATATTTATGACTTCTTGCAATAAGTTAGTCAATAGCAATAAAAAATTAAACATGAAAATGTTAAAACAACACAAAATAAAATAAATAACGTTTATTAAATCAGTTATTGCCGTTAGATTACCCTATTAAGAATTATTTTAATCATATTTCACTTTTTTTAGAATTTTTTAAAACGGCATGTTTAATAGCACTAATAATTTTCAAAGTTTAATACAAGAAATTTTATACAATATAAAATCATTTTATATATCTTTAGTATACGTAATTTTTATGTTATGAGGGAACACACTAAACTATAGAAGCTTTTCCAGTGTGCCGTATCGTATTGTGATAATAGAATAGTAACAAAGGGCAGGCCAGGGAAGCTTAGCTATATTAAAAAAGAGTATGGTAATCGTCTTGCTAGTGAATAATTTTGGTCAAAGAGTTACAATATCATTGGTTCTAAAACTTGCACAGGAGTAATATACAGTCATTGCCATAAAATTCGGTTGCCTGGTTAAATTCCGTTGCAGTCCAATGTCCTCGAGTGTGAATCCATTCCAATTAGAAACAATTGTGGGTCGGTGTCTATGGTAGCACTCGTAATGGGTAGCGCTATGGCAAATGTCCTTCAGCTGGACGTCTTGCGATGTTACAGACAGACACGGGGCCCCGTAGTGAAAGTGCGGTCAATGTCCAAACGGTCGTCTACCTCTCTCTTGTCTCTAGGTCCCAAAACTTTCTTTCAGTGGAATCAGTGGCAGGCTACCCCCTGAGCTGACTACAGACTATGCCAAGTTTTGTTACGGGCCCACCACTATTTTTTGATGTGCTAAGTTTCATGGAAATAAGGGTACTTGTGACAATAACACAAGCATCGAGAGTAATATAAAAACATGATATTTGGAATTTTAACTTAACACGTAACTGGATATGTTTGATTAGAGAGTTACAATAATGTTCTAAGACTAGAAATGTAGTATCGTTCTTGTAACACTCTGTAAACAGGAGAAGCTTAGCAAGATTTATTAAAATATATAATTTTTGGCATTATCACTTTAACATGTTACTAACTAAATATTTATGATTGTAGAATTTAAAATGGGTTGGTTCTAAAACTTATAATGTGGCAAAAAATTATATTTTAAAGGGCATGCAAAATCTGGAATAATTAAATATTTAATTTGTACGAAAATTTTAAAAATATAGTTATATTTAGAATTATGACATTAATCGTGTTTAACATTTCTGTTATAAAATATAGTATAGCTACTTACTTTCAAGTCCAACAATCTCAACTGTACGGAAAATAGGCCTGAATGTTCTTTCATCAATATTAGTTATTGGATTTCCCCTTAAATTGACACTCTGTAAGGCAGGCATTTGAGAGAACATATCATTGGGCAATGACCGGATATTGTTGTTCCTTTGAAGAAAACATTTTTTTAAAATTTTCTCCGGCGTTTGCACATATAACACCGAATTTACAGGTTTCTTAAATATTTGAAATTCTTTATGTTGTGGTGCTTAAAATAATTTTAAATCAACATTTTCGAACTTGGAGTTGTATATGTGTAATATATTATAGCATAAAGTTGACTACCACAAGAAAATATCGTTCGTAAAAATCGTAAATGTTGGCAAGTGTGTAACTTGTTGACTAAATATTTAACGCTTCTTGTTTTTGCTTTTTTTTTTTGTTGTACTGCAAAATTTATTTTCTTTATTCTTCATCTTTTAAACGTGGCAAAATTTGTCCCAGGCTTAATTGATCATTTTTTTCGTTTCCTTTGATTTAATGCCGGCATGAGTTCTAGTGCTAATGGATCTTCTAATAAATATCTTCTGACAACCAAAAAGTTTTATTTCATTTTGGATGCTATGTAAAAATGCGAAATCTCTCTATTAAATTTTCTTTTCTAATTTAAAGTTATTTCTAGAATACTTGCTGAATCTTTAAAAATATTCAAACAAGAAGTTGTCCAGCATAATTAATTTTTTTGAACGAAGACAGCAGAATTTGCGTGCAGTTCTCTATCACGTTTTATATAAAAGCATTCGGGAGAAAATATTTTTTAATATCTTTTATTATAAGTCTCACAACATTAAAACCATAGAAACAAAGAAAAAGAAAAAAAATTGTTCTCAAAAACTATTCTGTAAACAGAAGAGACGGAATTTCAAAATATCTTCGAAAAATTGATTTTATTCATATTTAACAAGAGGATTTCATTAAAATTTAAATCAAAATATTTTTTTCAAAGAATAATATTTTGACTAACTCCATCATTGTGATAGTAAAGAAGCGTTAAAAATTATTTACAGATTCAAGTTAAAGTACCACTTAATGCTTAAGAGATTTTCCAATAAGTCCATTTTAACGAGCATTACTTTTAATTTCTTAACAGCCAAGGTACATAAATGTAATTTTTTATTATTATTGAAAATATAAATACTTTTAATTAATCACGGAGTTCGACCTTAATATGAAGAAAACGAGAGTAAAAATAAAATTTCGCTCGTATTTTTTTAATAAAATTTGAAAATGACCTCTTATAAATATTAAATTCAAAAATAATTGTTTTCAAGTTATCCCAAAGGAAATAAGTTTAATCTTACTTAATTTCCATTTTAATTATAATGATTGCGTTTGCTTTTTCACTTCCATAGCTGGCAACTCACTTAAATATTCCGGAATTCGTTTGTAAGAATATATAAATTTGTATTAAATTGATTTTATGGAACTTAAAATTAAATAAAAGAAAAAGTTATATAAATGGTTGTTAGTCATATCCTCGGGAAAAAATTATTTGTCCCAACTTTTATAATTTAATTGTCATCCTCCAAAGCAAAACAAATTTATTCAATGTAATATTATTTGTTCAATACAATTTCTGACTTTAAGTAAGTGCTTGATAAGTATCAATTACAAGTACTTATTAGACAATAAGATAATTAAGAAAAATGGAAAAGAAAACAGGAAAATGAAGCAGAAAAAAAATTTAATTTTGAGTCATACGTGAGAATTTCAAGTTTTCATTATTGCCTACCATTATATCCCTTAACTTTTAATTAACCTTTCATTATATCAGTATTCCATAAAATCATTCCAACACTCATTACAGCAGTTCTCCCTGTCAGATTCTTACAAATAAAATAAGTCACAAAAGAATTAATTAATTAACCTAGTTTTTTCTTTTACAAGCGTATGAGCTTTTGCATGAATTTAAACAAATAATTTATATTTATATCAAGCAAAAAATGTGTTTAATTTATTGTGCTTGAATATTTTTCATTTAGTATTGTGTAAGAAATAAAAAGGACAGAGGGGAAGAAATAGTACAGGAGTTTACTTTATTGCCTGTTAATTAAGAATAATATGCTTTAATTACTATATTTTTACAATGTTAATCATAGTTAAGTTGCTGTATTTAAACAATCTATAATACTTTACTTATATTGACTAATTAAACGCACTAAAATTGTATCAACAACTTTTAAGCAAATTTAAATATTGGTGTTCTGTATTTTACTATTTTAGAAAGCAGTACGTAAATTCATATAAACATGACAAAGATATATTGTATTGATTTATACAGATAGTGATTATATAAATAGTAGTTAAAAATCTTGAACAGAAAAAGTTAGAGTAAAAAAGGTTGCTAAAAATCACAAATAAAAAAATTTTTAACAAACGAAACCCAAGTTGCTACAACAAAGGAAAGTGAAGAAAAATAAACGTCTGTATAGAAAAAAAAATCAAAATGCAAAGAAATAGAACTAACTTAAAATCTGTCCATAAACAAAAAAAAGCAAGTTAATATGCATACAGATTTTAAAAAAATAATACAAAATGAAAATTCGAAAAGATAAGGAAAGTAAAAAAAGCAAAGATGAATAAAAATAACTGTAACGAAGCAAGTAAAATATAATAAACAAATAAATAAAAAATAATGAAACACAGTTACAAAAAAATTTCGCATGCAGAAAAATGAAAATAAAAATAAGCATACAAGTTAAAAAAATTTGCAAACAAATAGCAAAAGTGCACACTTACGCCAAATTAATAATTTCTAACATTCTGGCTGGATAAGCAAATAGTGATCTTCTCAGGTCCTGAAGACGGTTGCTGGACAAGTCCAGTTCAGTAAGCTTGTAGAATGGTTGGAAGACGTGGTTTTCTAAACCAATGAGACCCGATGATACGACATTCACAACAGTAACAGCACCCTGACAGATCCTTCCAAAATCTGATTGAAGAACGGGGACTGAGCTTTGGACAATCTGTACTTCACAATAAGCGTTTTGTGAAGTAGGAGTTAGCCAGTACATGGCGGCCCAATTCCACCGCCGAACAACATTGACCTTAAAAATTGTGAAAAGAATAGTTGCAGATATTTCAATTGTAATTGTTTAAGTTTGTTAAGCGTTTACTTGCTATGCGTGTTGCATATTAAAATTTACGCCAGGCGTCATAAGGTACAGTACTCAAAATAAAGAAGAGAGCTCATTGAATTACTTTAGATAGGAATTGCACGTACTGTAAGTCAATCTTAATGTTTTCTGGGCCTAATCTCAAATATATTAATTAAGGCCGTTTTTTAAAGGCTCCGTCGTAGTATGAAATGATGCTTTTTTGCGAATAATATGCTATTTTTATAATTGTTGTGAGTTTGCAACTGTTACGCATATGACTGTTAGGTCAAGTTAAGCCTTTCTAAAGCCAGAGCTGACTGCGCATATTTTGAAAATGGCGCAAAACAACAGTATGGAGAAAAGCCATAGTTTTGGGAAAATGAAAAGCATTTGTGGTCTAATTGTTCAAAGTTTAAAAGCTTATACCAATGCTGCATTACCCAAGCTCATAAAAATTTACAAAAGCTAAGAATACAGCAGTTATTTTGATAATTTTCATCTTGGTGAAAAAATTTTGCCGAATTATCGATTCTTCAGAACGTTTAATAACTTTTAAAATATCTAAGTCATTTTTCTGTTCTAAGGCTCAGATAATTCTTACTATATATACAGTTTAAAATTATTGCATTCCTTCAAGTGTAATGCACCTAAACTATATATTTTTTTATTTCCCTTGTCGGCATAGCTTCGAAAAATTAATCTGTGCAGAAGATATTTTAAGTTACATATTCAGATACAAAAACGTACTTCCCCTGAATATGCATATCTCTTTTAGAACGGGTAAGGATTCTTCACTTCAAAATATGGAGAGAAGACGCAATGTGGAAAATATTGTCCCAATAATTTGGTCCCGTTAATGGTTATTTGTCGTTGTCCATTTCTCCCTATATCTCTAGTACTTATGAAACGAAAGGAAAAATTTTTGCAAACAATTTTAAATTTTTGCTAATTAAAAGGTAATTACATGTCAGAAATAATTTATTCCTTTTCATAAATTTTCTTTTATAAATAATAGGTAAAAAAATCTTGAATCGTAAGGCATACAAGTTTTTGCATCATAGCAAATAAAACATAGTTTTAAATGGCAAAATACAAATTCGAACGAAATCAGTTCATTTATTCCATAGAGATCAAATTCTATTTATATGACTTTCTTAAAATAAAAATTAATAACTCAGAAACTATTCGACAGATTTCTTTCAAATCCTTGTATTTTGCCATTCAAAATTCCATTTTTTTAGAAAATGATTTTTGAATTTGTACACCATACCATTCAAAATTTTTCCACTTATTATTAAATAAAATAATAACAAATAATTTTTGAAAATAATTTTCTGCATGAAATTATCTTTGGATAAACAAATGTTAAGCAAATTATTTAACAATAATAACGAATAATTACAAAGAAATAGCAAATACAGATTTAAGATAAACAAATTTTTAAATTAAGTTATTTAGTTTTAAATGACTTCTTTCAATAATGCAAGGCGTAAAGTAGTTAAAGCATAAACAAGTACCATTAGCTAGCAAGTAAAAAGATTTATGGGTCAAAATAAAAGCTTTTGACGGAGCAAATCACGTGAATTATGACAGGTACATGTTGTTTAATAGAATGCATGGTTTAGACCTCCTAATCCGGTACGGCAACTTTCTTCACACTAGAAAAGATCGCTCAGACTCACAACGCCATCTGTTGGCAATTTTCAACTAAATTCTATATCTTGTGTGAAAAGTTTTTACCACTTTCACAAGAAAAATGCAATTTGTTTCCTTCCTCAATGTTTCAGAAATTTTTAATTTCGAAATCAGGCAGTTATCTTCTGGACACCCTGTACGTGCTCTTTAATTACGCTATAATGTTACTTACCTCATGCATTCGTATAAAAGCACTAACATCAAACGTCACTCCATTGAAGGGTGATGATTCGCTCTCCGGATCATTCAAGTACTGGAATGCCACTCTACTAATATCTAGAACAAAATCCTTGACGTTCCCTATCCTGTAGAAATAATCGCCAGGAAAAGAATGGAACTGTCCTCCCCTCAAAGCAAGAGTAAAGCCTCTGCAGGGCTTAAAATTTTGAGGGAGGAGTTGGAATTGCGACCATGAAATGGGTCTGGAACAAATGCATCCACATGAGTCCTGTTCAGAGAATATTTGTTGCATCAGTTATATTGCATAGGTTTAATTAAATGTAAGAATGACTAAGAAATACAGTTTAGGATTTAGATTGGAAATTAAACTACAAATTCTTCAATAAAATTAAAGCTCATCTTTTCGTCAAATAATTGCAATTTTCATGATCCTAAAGTGCTCTACTGTCCCATTTTGCACGTGCCAGGCATAGTGTCGAAGTACATTGAGTTTGGCACAGAACAATCACATCTGGGTTATATGCAATTCAATTCTGAATTCGTTTAAATTAATGTTAAGAGGTTTCTACCTCTTTTGGCCAAGCTTTTAGCGAAAAAATTTTTGGTGTTTATCGTGGTGGAACAAAAGCACTGAAGGCATCAGGGAAAATCTTAAATAACAAGACACAGAAATGGGCTTAATTTTTACTGAATCCCTACTCTCAAATATATGGTATGAAATTTCGTTACTATTACTTGTGACTGGAATTTGCCTTAAAATAAATTATTTACGAGCAATTTAAAATAAATTATGTATCAAGTACAACTATATGTCAAGGACTATATGTATATATTTAATTAAAAAATGCTTCATGAAGCAATATCTTTGCAGAACATGTTTGCAAATTCAAGCTTAATTCATTAAAGCTTGAATTTTTTTTATATGACCTAACGCAAAAAAAGCTCCAATTAAAAAAAAAAAGATTTCTCTTAACTAAATGAATATCTTCTTCTGTTTATTACTACTTGATTTTTGAAAAGAATTAAAAATATTTGCTTGTTCCTTCTCAAATCGGAAGAATTCTCATAGATTTCTCACAATTCCCGTGACATGTACGTCACGTTGGGTCAAAATGGGTTAAGGTAAAAAGCAAATGAAAAGAAAACTTGATAGACTTGTTTCAAATATTTGCACATAAGAATAGGCTTCATAATTGCTCTTATTGTAATATGTAATAAAATATTGAAATATTTCTGTATCATTACAGCTATCTTTAAAAGTTTATTTCTACGATTTATGATTATGTACTATGACTTACAAAAAACATAAAATATGACATTAATATTACGATCATAATCCATGACTATACTTTTTTAAAACGATTTGTCATAATTATAAAAAGAAATTATAATTATCATATATGGTAATTTGACGACGATGTAACCATTTTTTTTAATTATGGTTAATGGTTAATTTCGCTTTTTTTAAATTAGGGTTAAATTTGTTTTGTTCTTTTCTTTAATTATGGTTAATTATATTTATTTGGACAACGAAAAAAAATTCCATTGCTTAAGTAAATTAATAAGTTCGGAAAATACTCGCAATTTATCGTCAAAAATCTATATTTTATAACGATATATCGTGATATTAAAATTTTGAAATGAATGAATCACAAGTTATTACATTACAAATTGCGTTAATAAGAAATTTCTTATAGAAAAATTTTACATATTTAGCTACCGAAAACTGATGAAAAATACGTTCATATTAAAACTAAAGCTGGATACTGTGCTTCATTTCTTTTCAGAAAAGTTTAAGTTGGTTATATTTTATTCTGGATGACTTGTTATGATATAAGCTATTTCTTACAAAAACATCTGAATGCGATTCAATTTGAAATTTACACAGATGCTATCTTTAGAAAGGTAGACCAAGAAAAATGAATAACTTTTGTTGATTTAATTTTAGACGAATAAATAACAAATAAGTCAGTGGTCGTCTATAACAAGATTTTTCTTACGTTCTTCAGTTCAATATTATCAAAAATATGCAAGCAGTAAAAAAAGTTTGGAAACTGTCAAATATCTTGAGAAATATATATCGAATTGATGAAGGGAAAATGAAATCATTTAATATTCTTTTAAAAGCTATCCAATGAAACCAAACTCGATAAGTGCAAGTCTAACCGAAAAAATTTAAAACAGGGTTCAAACTGTTTAAATTGGCAAAACTCGAGACCTATCAGATTAAAAACATAAAAGTAGATCTGTTTCAAATTTGTTTGTAAATTTTTTTTTGTTAAAAAAATTTCTCAAAAAAAATACCGAAATATTTTTATTTATTTATTTATTTTTTTCAATCCGGTTAGTCTTGAGATCATCATTTTAAACAGTTAGTAACTCATTTATTTATTTTCTAGGTTACAGCGCCATCTATGAAGCAAAATGCGTAAACCTAAAGGCTAAATGTGATGTTATTTTTTTTTTGGAGTATCCGAATCTGCAATAAAAAAATAGGGATTCAATATTTAAGATTTCATAGATGTCCCACCCCACCTCCAGGGTGAAAGATCGAGTTTGTTATCATTGGCTGGCCTTTAAAAATTGTGGAAAGAGTCGATTTTCCTCTTTTTCCATCCCATGTATATTTTCGACATATATGACAGTTTTAAAAGTGTGTTTAAACCCTGAATAATTACTTATTTATTTGTTTAATAGGATTATACTAACTATGCGTAACAAGGATGTCAAAGTCCGTAAGTAAGTCAGAAATAAGAGAGAGACCTTCAGAAGTTATTTCTGAAATTTTTACGTCTGAGTGCAAGTACGAGCTACGGCAGATGAAGGATATTTCGGAACATGTTGAATGGGTATGTAATTCACGTAATTTTTGCAGTAATTATTAGAATTATATTATAAACAATTAGTCGCACACTGTATACATTTTTTACATTATACTATTTTATACTATTTTTTGTTATTGTATACTTACCTGAAAATAACAGTTGCAAGGATTGTCTTGTAGGGTTCTCAATTCCAATTCTGTTCTATTTGTCTCCCTGTTTCCGTTACAGTGTACGTGCACAATTGCACACAGAATGATTATAAGGAATGGGAACATTTTATATAGCGTAGTCATTGCCTGAAATATAAATGAAACATTTTAATTATAATATTTTTGTTGCTCAATTTTAATAATTTAATAATGTCAATTCGGTAAAGGCTTTCTATTGGGCTAGTTTTTAGAACAAGGGAATTTGATATGCACTGAATGATAACACTGAAGAACAAATTTTTTATACAAATACATCTTGCCTGATTCGGGTGTTGGGATTTCTAATACGAAATTAGTTTTGCTTCTAAAATGACAGATTTAATTTTAAATGGCATTTTTATTTCATTTTTTTCTCGAAATGTACAGTTTTAAAAGTACACAGGGGGACACGTAAATGTTGCTACAAACTTCTAGGCAAGTTAGGGCGTATTATAAGAATTGAAAGTACATAAAAACCCATGCCAGGACATATCATCGTATACTGCTAAGAGCTTTTAGTGTTTGGAAGTATTTAAAAGATACCAGACATTTTATAACTGTAACTTGGTTTATTTCCTTCATAAACAACTAAAATTCTAAAATGCGTTTTGCAACATTAAATCCATCATCAAAGTAAGTAGAACAGGGGTGTCGAACTCAAAGGCTAACTTGGGTCAAATAAACAATGCTTAACTTTAGGTGGGTCGCAAAAAAAACAAAACAATGTTCATAGAAAACAAATGTTTTTATTTTGAATTGCAATAAACATATATAAAGTTAAATTATTGTTTACGTCCTGATACTTGACATCTCTTCTCTGCTACTATCTTTTCTATTTCGGGAGAAATTTTATTGGCCGAGACGACTTTCAAAATTGACCCAACGTGAGCGTAATTAATACGGTTTCGGACAGGAGATTTATTTCCATTCATAACAGAAAATAAATGCTCTCACTGATAAGTACTTCCAAACATGGAAATAATTTCATATGCGAATTTTCGAGTATTTTCAAACCTTGCTGGTAAATATTCGTAAAATTCAGGTGCACCCACTTCAATGACTTTTGCCTTCAAATTTGAGTCGCACTGAATCTCAATCACTTCCATTTGCATGCAACTGGGTACTGAATCTATATTTATTGAGAAAATCGAAGAAAACAAACAAATTTGTCTTTCAAAGAATTAAAATCTTTAAACCTTGTTTCAAATTCTGTTCTAAGATTTGAAATTTTTTTCTGCATATTTTTGATACGATGCAGTATCATCTAAACTAGATTTGTTCTTGTTGCACGCTTGGAAGTGCGTTAAATCTTCATTTTTCAGTTGCCTTTCTCAAAGAAATAGTTTACATTTGAAGGCTTTAATTATGTCAAACATGTTCGTAATGATCTGATCCTTGCCTTCTAACAATGAATTTAAATCGGATAAGTATTTGGTTACATCAGCCATAAAAGATAAATCTTGCAACCATATTTGATCGGAGAACAAGCTTGTATCTTGATTTTTAGTTTGCAAAAACTTACATATTTCTTCTTTCAAATCCCAGAATTGGTTGAGAACCTTGGAGCAAGAAAACCAACATACCTCGTTATAGTAGGATAATGTACTATTTAATTGATAGCTTAGTGTGAAACGGACTCCATTTCAAACGGACTCCATTCATTTACATTTTCGCGCGTACGATTTAAAATGATCCATATGGTTTATAAATAATGTATATTATAACTTTATATGCTGACTTCGTTTCTAATTCACATTTTTATTTTATTTTTACTTCGCTTTGGATATATTGACAGGGCCACAAAAATGTTCATCTCGGGCAGCATGCGGCCCGCGAGTTTGACACCCCTGAAGTAGAAAGACATCAGTACTTCGGGACTCGGTGGCTTAGGTCCAGCACACATCTCCGGGTGAGAGCTGAAGTTGAAGTGGCATACTGATCGACGGTGAGCAGGTTTTTATCCTTCTTGAGTGTAGGCGCGCGCAGTCCGGAAAAGCTGATTTGCATCTTGAGAGATCGGCTTCTTCCAACTGCGTTGCATTTTAATGAAGATGACGTTCTGTGTGACGTTCTATGCGATGAGTCTTAGATGACGCCACAGGCTCTTCCGAGCACTTTGCACAAAGCGAAGAGCACAACGTTATACATAACGTTTTTAATCTTGTAACTTTCGACAAAAAATTCACTAAAAATCTCATCCAAAAAAACTGTAGCTTGGGATGTGAAACTTATTGCAGATTTTAATTCAGAGATGTGTCTAATATCTGTTAAAAAAATCTCATGCAACAGAAAACAAAAAAATATTTACCATTGTAATTATTCTAACTTTGACACCCAATAACCTTTTAAGCTGCATTTTTAGATCAAACTTGAAATACAAAATAACCTAAATTTTTATTTATAAAAAGCTAATTCCAAAGCAGCGTAAAAAGGAAATTGAGAAAACCTTAATTAAGGTCTCATCAATTAACACGTATAACACATGAAGCAATGTATAAAAAATGCGCCGCAAAATACCTGAAATTATTCGGAAATTGCTAAGCCACAGCATGATAAAATTTACCGTGTTACTTTTATGCAAGCAATTTTAAATGACAAAATTAAAAAAGAGATAAACGAATACAAAAAAGTAGTTCCGGAGAAAGTAAATTCTTAAGACTTAATTTTATTACTAAAATGTGATTCAATTAGTTCAAATTTTGGAGTTTCCACTTACAATTTCATAGCTTCTTTTTTTAAGCATAACAAATCACTCAATAAGTCTCCAGTTTAACATTTTTTTCTCAAACAAATATGAAACTTACTTTTCTTCAAAAAAACATTCATTCATTCTAACGCTCCTCTAACTTTTCGATGCTTTTTTTGTAGAATGATTTACCTTTGCTCTTAAAATAGGCCCAAGATTCAACAATAACTTTTTCATCTGAGCCAAATTTTTTTCCCTGGAGCATTTTTTTGAGGCCAGTAGCCAGTAGTCACTGGGGGCTAGATTTAGAGAATATAGGGGATGGGAAGAAAATTCAAAGCGCAATTCATTCAATTTGACCATCATATTTTTCATCATAGTTTTCATCGTCTTGTAACGAAGAGCTTCATCTTTGTGAAACAGAATTTTTTTTTCTTCACATGAGAGGCTGTTTTTTCTTTATTTCCTAGTGCAGTCGATCCAATAATGCCATATAATATTCGCTATTGATAGCTGTATCTTTTTCAAAATAGACGATGAAAAAAAATCCATGCGCGTTCCAAAACACGGAAGCCATAACCTCAGCTAAAGATCTTTTTGATTCAGGGGTGGTGTTGTAGTGGATCTATGTTTAATCATTGTCACATACCGCTGAAAGAAATCATTTTTATTTCACTTTAACATATCCAAATAGTGGTCGACATGTTGTTCCTTTTGGTCCGGTGTGTTTAAACGCCGCACCCATTTCGAAAGCAATTTGCGCATGCTCAGATTTTCATGCAAAATTGTAATCACATTACCTTCGTGAGGTCGTGTGGTGGTTTTCCAAAGCTATTTTGTGAATTTTTTTGATTTTTTCTGGGACTACTGCTGGTTTATTCGGCATCATCAGTGTTTTTACAGTCAGATTTAAACTCACCTTAAACTAAGACTTTAATGTTCCTTTAAACTTTAAAAATTATCATTATTAAATTTAAAATAAAAAGTAATAAATATTATCAAACAAGCAAAAGAGTAAGATTTATATTGGCAAATATTCAAAACTGCTTTGAGTTGAATAACACTAGAACAGCAGGAATGGTAATTTTGACAGCAAATCAAATTTGAGAGGTGCTAAGTCTTAAAATAACTTTGGAAGCGTTAACACAGTTTATAATCCTAAAAATCTTCCTGAAGTTTTTTTCAATTTCTATTAGTGGATGTGTTGCATCAAAGATGCCGATTGTGAAAGACACGAACGAGTTTCAGAATATTGCTAGTTTTAGTTATACCAATTTTAATTTTGCCATTTTTTTCCGAATTTTTTCATGAGTGCAACACTTTTGAAATTTCTCGTCCTTTAGTTTGAGCTTTGTCATTTCATTAGAAATTTCATTAGTAACATTCTAAGAAATTTCATTAGTAAAATTTATTTCAAATCATATGCTGATATTTACAATGTTATGCAACTGATAGATTACATTACTTTTCCTTGCATAAAAACAAATTTTATGGATTAAAATTACCGTTAAAAGTTCTGCGCAGAATGAAGTTATTAAAAATGACTTTTTCTAACTTTTTATGATGATATAAGTAAAAATCAAATAATTGTGCTTATTTTGTTATTGCGATCAAAATGCCGCAATGGTCGTTCTAGTTAGGTAAAAATGTCGGTCGTTTTAGAGTTATATGATTTCGTTATTGAAAGCAAAATTTACATTCTATTGAGGGTTAGACGCTGAATTGAGAAACTTCTTGAAGTTCTAAGACACATCATCCAGTGCACTACAATAGCAAACCATCATCAAAGCAAACATCTCATCTCATCCCAGTTTAAAGGAAATTGAAGTAGATTTGCCGCTTGTGCGGAAGGTTATCGAATTTGAGAATATGCAATATGAAAGAAATTAATTTTCATGAAAAATGCGTAAAATGAATTTTATTTTTTTTCCAAATGCAAAATATATATTATAAGATACTTTTTTTAAAATTCAGAGTTTATATTTGAAGTTTTAAAAATAGATTTAAATTAAGTCTACCCATATAAAATGCCTTTCTTGTTTACCAAAACTGGATTACTGTATAGTTAAATATAGCTAAATCATAAATAATTAAATTTTTCTAAACGCATGGATATATTTGTTGTGAAAAAATATGAATATTTAAATTAAACTATACATTTTATTAAAACAATGTTTTCGTCTTAAGTATTTTTAGAGCATTTTAATCCTTGTAATGAAAACTGAGTTTAAAAATAATTCTTACCATTTTTTTTAATTCTTGATATCTTTTGAGGGAAATTTCTTACAAATACATAACAAATTATGTTTCTTTAAAATTATTGCAAAGTATTTTTCTTAAAATAAAATTAATTATATAAAAAAATAAGTTTCCTTGCACTGTCTTAAAATTGTGAAATTTTTCTGATTATTCTTAATAAATT